GCCTGAGACACACAGAGATCCTCCTGCCTCTGCCTCCTGAATACTGGAATTAAAGTCATGTGCAGAAAGCATCTTTTAAAGCAAAAGTGTCATCTTTTGTGAATATATATATATATATATATATATATATATATATATATATATATATATCAGTGCTACAGCTGGCAAAGGATACTCCTAAAGGGCAAAGTGTACCATCATAGGCAAGAGTGGAGTATTGGGCTTTGGAAAAAGCAGAAGAATTTGAGAGCTTTGCTTCATATTTCTAAGTGCAGAATCATCATTATGTGAAATATTTATCAGTCAAAGTTAATAGAAAGATGATTAAAAACCATATGCCTCATTTTTTAATTTATAATGAAGGAATTTGATTTAGCACCTCTCTGAGTCCTATTCAAATACAAAATTCAGATTGCTGAGCCTGCCTAGTATGAAGACAGAGTTGGATTCAATAATTAATCTCCTAGTTCCTTCCCTGTTTTTCCTGTTCTTCAGTTGCTTCCCTTTCTTGTTTTTTTAAACCTTTTTGCTTATTTTACATACCAATCACAGTTTTCCCTCCGCCCACTCTTATTCATCTTTGCACTGCTCTATTACCCTCTTATCCACCTCGAGATTTCTTTTATTCCTTTCATGACATCATTTTGGTATTTCATTGCGTAACCCCACCCACTCAGATTTAGTTTGTGCATACAGAAGAAAGCAAGCAGTATTTGCCTTTGGAATCTGGCTTATTACACCCAACATAATGATTTCCAGTTGATTCTGTTTTCCTGAACATGTCATCACTTCCTTTATCCTTCAAGCACATAATATTCTGTTGCATGGGTGAATTGTATTTTCTTTGTTGGTAAGCATTTGGACTGAAACCACTGCAAAAACATATATAATGGAGCTCACATATTCAGTTCTATTGACTAGCCAACAAGCTCTAAGGAGCCTCCTCTCTCCACCTCCCCAGAGTTAGGATTTCAGAACCTAGTCACAGCGTCCGTTTTTTGTTTTTTTTTTTGCAAGGATTCTGGGCTTTCAAACTTTTGTCCTCATTCTTATGTGGCAAGCACATCCCCAACTGAGCCATCTCCTTAGCTTCTACTTTCTCTTCTATCAGAAGTTATATAGAGTTTAAAAGTTAGAGTTTAAAAGGCTGAATTCTTGAAAAAAATCTCTCTTGTTTATGGTGAAAAGGTCTCTTAATATATATCTTTTATTCTACTCCTAATGCTTTTCAAAGATTTTGCATGTTTATTAGTAAGGGACATCAGTTTGTAGATTAAAGGGCTTTTATTTTCATATAGTGTTTCGTTTTGGTGTCAGGGCAATCATTTCAAAAATGAGAATAAGACAAATTGTAAAATATTCCCTCCTTTAAATCTCCTGAAAATGACTACACCATATTCCTATTAGCTGTTCTTTGAATATTGGATGAAATTCTCTATAGACATCATCTGGTCCTGGCGTATTAATTGTGGTAAACTGTTTGATTAATTTACTTTCCATTAGACATATATAATGGTCTTCAACTTACCCCTTTCACATTGGTAAATTATAGTTTTGTCTTTTGAAGATGAGGTTTATTTCCTGTAATTTGTAAAGATTATTTGTGAATACATATCTGCAGTATCCATTTCATTATACATTTGATGTCTCTAGAATGCACATGTCAACCACCATAATTCCTGATATGGATAATTATAATTGCCCAATTTTTATTTTTCTTTAAGTTGTTAATTCAATTTATCTCTAATAACAAAGAGATTTGGGTTTATTTTACTTTCTATGTTATTCTCTTTTCAACTACATTCTTTTCCTCTCTCTTTCTACTCTTTTAATTTTGAGTAGCCCCTGTGATTGCACTAGGCATACCCCAAACATCCACATTGCAAAGTTCCACTTTAGTAATCTCAGCAAAATTCCCTGTTACTATTAGCAGGTTCAGCTTGTTAGAAAATTCACCTTTTTTGTGGGGTCACTATTCAGTCTAACATAGTCTACACACTGACTGTCATAGCTACATGACCATACTAATTGAAAAATACATCTACTCTATTCCAAGGCAACTAAAAGTCTCAACGCATTAAAATAAAACCTCAAGTCCAAAGTCTTTTTTAAAGTATGTCAGCTTACAAGTCCAAAATTTCATCATCTAAATCAGTTATGAGTGAGGCTGTAGGAATAATCTTCTCTGTATTTTTATCTCCATTCTTTTAGGTTGCCAACTTCAGCTCCAATTTTGGTATGTATGGGACAATAATAACACCCATGAAACTCATTGTGGTATCATTTCTAAGATACCCAACAGATCATTGTTGTTGACTCTTTTGGAGTATTTTTACATTTGCTTCACATGCAGTGCCTAGGGATTTCAGCTGAATTTAGTGACAGGAAAAGAGAAGTAGATCAACTTCATATTCCTGAAATTTTAAGTCACAGAATACATTTTGATGAAAGCTGGTTAAGATATTTTAAAATATGAGTGTCTATTCTTGTAATTTTGCTGTCAAATTCATGCAGCAAATCTTTCTCTAAAAGAGTTCCAACATGTTCTTCTAGTAACTTGTACCTAAGCATGTCTTAAAAATTTGACTGGTAGGATTAAAAGATGCTGCATCTTACTATTAGTGCCCTTTAGACACTTGAAAATGCTTCTGTAGATAGTAAGAAAATCATATTTAATTCATCTCTGTCTTTAACATAATGTAACTTGGTTTGGTTAATGGGTAGAAAATTAATTCTTCAGAAATCCATAGTGCCTTTCACATTTATCTGGAATTTATCCTGTAAACCATTTTTAAAATAATTGTGGCCAATTTTAACTAGCAGGTTTTTTAAAAAACATTTTTCCTCAATTAAGGAAAACAAAAGGTATAAAATTATTGATCAAAGTAAATGCCTCAGTTTAAATAGAATGTTTTTCTTAAATTTGGCTTAAGTTGTGCACATAGAGTTGAGGAGTAAGGCTCTCTGTTGGGCTCACATTCTAAGAATACACGTGTGAATTACACAGAATTTATTCAATTAGAATATTTAATACACAAATTATTTTCTAATTTTATAGAAATAGTTAGTATGTGCAAATTATTTGAGACTATATTAGGATCCAGGCAGTGTTCTGTTGAGTTTACAAAAGCACAAGGAAATTTAACACAGGGGATTAAATATTAAAATCCCCATAAATATGTATTAAATATTTTAATTTTTAAAATTTTGAGACTAGTTTTAAACTACATAAATATTCCAGGGCTAAAAAATGAATCTCTAAATATGCTTCAGCAGATTACATTTTTCTTCTCTCCCATTCGTTCTCTCTTATTTTCTCTATATTCATTCAAAATAAAAATAAGTGCATTTTGCAAAATTATAAGCAATTTTTATGTGTTATTCTAAGAAGTTAATCTTATATTTATAAATTTTGTAATATGAATATATATATATATATTGTATTTATATTATGCCTTATAACAGTATAACAATTATCACTAGACTTGCTGTTACTGACTTTAATAATATGCCTGCAACATAATCCTCCATATTTTATATAGTAAAAATTAATCCACTTAATAGCACTATCAGATTCTGAAATTTAATCACTAATGAATATTGGTATCTCATATACTGTCCATGCAACAATGTTTTTCGAACTGTACTGTTAGAATTCTGCTAACATATGAACTTATGTTTCAGAACTGGACATTTTCATGTATTCAATGTTTCACAATTGTAAATGGCATCACAATAACAAATATAGAATTAATTTAGGTTATCAATTTTGTAAATATAGAACAGTTTTAAAATTAGTTTAATTATAAAGTCTACAACAATTTTTTATTATTAGAATTTTAAGAATTCCAAATCTAGCAAATCCCACCCATCCACATGCAAGCCTACATCAGTTCTCAATCAGCAAAAGAGGAGTAAATTGTGGTGAGAACAAAACAATCATCTTTATTATTGACAAACTGAATATTTTTTTTTATTTTTTTTGACAAACTAAATATTTCAGAAGGTTTTTCATATGCCAGACAAAATTCCTCAATGTTGTAAGCACTCCCTGTACTTTTTACATCTGTGTATCCCCAAGAATTTACTCAGCATTCCAGCAGAAGAAATAGGAGGGGTGGCCTTCCAGTGGGTAAATCTTCAGCCAATAAAGGGTAGGTGTTGGTTGAATGCTGCACCCTGCAGAGAGACAATTCTAACTGCACTCTACAGGACTTCTCAGAGGGATGAGCTCTAGCAGATCACATTAAGTATTAGTTTAGCAACACACTGTTGATCTTTTCCTCTACGTGTTGTGTCCTTACCATTCTCTCACCTCTGATCTCTAGGGTTATGTCCTAAATAAACTACTACTTGTACCCAAGGCAATCTCTCAGACTGCTCTAAGATTGAAAATGCTGAGTGCTTATATGTATGACAATAACAACAAAACAGATAAAATATGAATTGTTAATATGATTTCCCTAATTGAGCTGCATAAATGCTGGTGTCCACTATGTGGGGTCCCATGCTTCTAAAACCGCTGGCTGTGAAAAAACACAATGTGTTCAGTGGATCAGCTACCTCATAAAAGGAGAGATTGAGCTACCCCTGCATAGTTCCGCTTCTGGACTCTTCGGCCTGATTTCTCATCACATCTTTGTGGACAGGGGTTAAGTGTGGGAAGGGCAGTCTGTCATGTAACGAATTTTCTTGTATTAAAAAAAAATTGAACACAGAAGCTTTAATATTCTTCCTTAGTAAATTGCAATCTAAATTCTAAGGAAGAAATCATCTAACATATGCAAAATATCAATGCAGGTGGCTATTGCTACCATGAAGAAGCTAAATAAATTTGGTACAATTAAGGTTTTAAGGAAAAACTTTCTTTTAGGAGCACTTATATATTTTTCAAAACAAAATAAACCTATAAAACTAGCACACTGATCAAGAAAGAGAAAACGAAAACCTGCCTTTATCAGGCATTACACCCACTGTGGTGGTTTCAATAAGAATGGCCCCTACTTTGCAACATCACCAATGGATAAGCCAGGGTGTTCTCCTTTGATTTTGGGGCGATACTCAGAACAGAACAAGAAGAAGGCCGAAGGAGGCCTCTTGGGTGCATTGGGGTCCTTGAACTTCTTTTTGGTCTCCCCTTTGGGGGGGATGTAGGTTTTCATTTCTCTTTCATAACGAGCCTTGTCAGCCTTGGCAATGTCTTCAAATTTCCCCTTTTCTTTAGCAGACATGGTCTTCCACCTTTCTGAGCACTTCTTGGAGAACTCTGAGAAGTTGACAGAAGCATCCGGGTGCTTCTTCTTGTGTTCCTCCCGGCAGGTTTGCACAAAGAATGCATACGAGGACATTTTGCCTCTCGGCTTCTTAGGCTTATCCATTGGTGATGTTGCAAAGAAACTGGGAGAGATGTGGAACAACACTGCTGCAGATGACAAGCAGCCCTATGAAAAGAAGGCTGCCAAGCTGAAGGAGAAGTACGAAAAAGATATTGCTGCTTACAGAGCTAAAGGAAAACCCGATGCAGCGAAAAAGGGGGTGGTCAAGGCGGAAAAGAGCAAGAAAAAGAAGGAAGAGGAAGATGATGAGGAAGACGAAGAGGATGAAGAGGAGGAGGAAGAAGAGGAAGATGAAGATGAGGAAGAAGATGATGATGATGAATAAGTTGGTTCTAGTGCAGTTTTTTTTTCTTGTCTATAAAGCATTTAACCCCCCTGTACACAACTCACTCCTTTTAAAGAAAAAAATTGAAATGTAAAAAAAAAAAAAAAAAAAAAAAAAAAGAATGGCCCCTACTGTATCTTTCCGATATTTGAATGCTTAGGCATCAGGGACTATTTGAAAATTATTAGAAGGATTGCGATGCGTGGTTTTGTTGGAATAGGTGTGGCCTTGTTGAAGGAAGTTTGTCACTAGGAATTTTTTTTTGCGGTTTCTGGCCCAGCGTCTCCCTCTGCCTGTGAATCAGATGTAGCTCATAGCAATTGCTCCAGAGCCATGAGTACTGCCATGCTCCCACTATGTCTAACCTTCTGAAGCAAGCTATAAGCAAGGTCACAATCAAATTCTTTCCTTTATAAGAGTTGTATTGGTCATGGTGACTCTTCACAGAAATAGAACAGTGACTAAGATACCTACCCCTCAACCACAGGTATCATTTGAACTCTCTCAGTTCAAAGTGTAATTTCCGCCGGGTGGTCGTGGCGCACGCCTGTAATCCCAGCACTCGGGAGGCAGAGACAGGCGGATCTCTGTGAGTTCGAGACCAGCCTGGTCTACAAGAGCAAGTTCCAGGACAGGCTCCAAAACCACAGAGAAACCCTGTCTCGAAAAAACCAAAAAAGAAAAAAAAAAAAGAAAAAAAAAGTGTAATTTCCATGCTACTTGCTTTTGATTGAACTTCATATGAATAGAGAAACAATATGTACTCTTTTATATTTGACTTAAAAAAAAAAACGTAATTAAGACAAGGTCTCTCTCACCCAGGCTCTCCTGGCATTCTCCATGTAGCCGAGGCTGGCCATAAACTCAGTCTCTGAAGCACTGGAATTACAGGTATGAGTCATTATGCCAGACCAGCTTCCTTTGTGCAGCATTATGTTTGTGTGATCAAGTGAAATGATTGCCTGTATCTATGGTCTTCTTCTGTTGTCGTGTAGCACACTATCTTATGAATCTATCATGCTCTATTATTTTTCAGTATATTGCTTATGGATACTTGGTTACTTCTCACTTTTGAATATAATGAGTAATATCCCTATAAAGATTTTTGTGCATATATTTTGATGCATGGATTCCCATATGTTAGCATTCCTATGATTGGGCCCTAAATTAGGGATATGCTCAGATACAATAATACTCCCAAGTTTCAAAACTAAATTATATTACTACAAGAAATATATTAGAGTGATAGTTACCCTGCATTGTTCTGTTATCACAAACTGGTTTCTCCTTCCACCTTATGAGTCCCAGGGATTGAATTTAGATTATCAGGTTTGGAAGCACTTTTACCTAATGAGTTATCTCAGTAAACAGAACAATAATGTCCTTACTGATAGGTGGCTGGAATCAGGATTTATTACTTCCCAATATAGGCATACAAATACCCACTGAATGGATGTTGCTCTTACTCTTCTTTTTCTAAATAATATTCCTGAAAAATCATTGATGTGATTTAAATATCTTATCCTAATGTTATCAGCTCAAGATGTCAATGAAACTAGAAGGATATGAATTTTAAACATGTGTATACTTTACAGCTGATGTTGAGAAATTTTCTAAGTCTGGTAGTACCAAATAGCTATTTCTTCTCAATTGAAGCTTTGCTTCCTGGAGAGAGAAGAGAGGTTCATAAGGTTCAGGGAGTTTATAAAAGTTTTCAGATTCATGAGGCACTTACTAAACTAATAAAAGCAGTAATCAACCACTTCAGGGGAGTTGTCAGCCAGTTGGAAAGGGATCTCTGATGGCGTAGCTCATATTTGTTAGTTGTTCATGTTGTTGTGCGCTTTTAGGTTGGTATAGTTTTTCTTTTCAGGTTGTAGGCAGCAAAACTATTTAATAAATATTTACTAAACATTGGATTCTGAGAAAGCATCTAGATTCTGCCCACCAACATTTATAGAAACACAGACTTTGCCTTCTACTCTTCAGGTTTTCTGTTTCAAAGGGAGCCTGTTGCATTACAAATGACCTATTCAAGGGCACAGAGAGTAGTACCCCAGATAGCGGTGCACCTAAGATATCTGATGCCACATTTTAAATGGTACTTAGTCAAGTGTACAATGATGTTCTTTGTTTTCTTCTAACAGGGAGTGATATAAAGATGTAGTTGTTTCCTTTCATCGCCTGCTGAAGGTTAATATTCAGGAGGATGCCTATATGTTTTTCTTTGGGTTCTCCTTATTTAGCTTCTCTAGGATCACTAATTATAGGCTCAATGTCCTTGGTTTATGGCTAGAAACCAAATATGAGTGAGTACAGAGACAGAGACCCACATTGGAGCACCGGACATGAATCTCAAGGTCCAAATCAGGAGCAGGAGAGAGAGCACGAGCAAGGAACTCAGGACCGCAAGGGGTGCACCCACACACTAAGACAATGGGGATGTTCTACTGGGAACTCACCAAGGCCAGCTGGCCTGGGTCTGGAAAAGCCTGGAATAAAACTGGACTCTCTGAACATAGTGGACAATGAGGACTACTGAGAACTCAAGAACAATGGCAATGGGTTTCTGATCCTACTGCACGCACTGCCTTTGTGGGAGCCTAGGCAGTTTGGATGCTCAATTTGCTAGACCTGGATGGAGGTGGGGGTTCCTTGGACTTCCCACAGGACAGGGAACCCTGATTGCTTTTCAGGCTGGGGGGGGGGGACTTAATTGGGGAAGGGGGAGGGAAATGGGAGGCGGTGGCGGGGAAGAGACAGAAATCTTTAATAAATAAATAAATTTTAAAAAAAGATGTAGTTGTTTGAAATGGTTACTACAAGTTCTTGGTGTTAACACATACTCTTTACTTCTACTACATCACTCCCAGGGATTGAACTCAGAAATCAGTTTTCATAACAAGCATTTTACCTGCTGAACCATCTACATATTCTGGAAATCAGATAAACAATGGGACAACAGATGATTATTGATTCAAGAAGCCAGTTAATGATGAACACAAGCAGGTTCAGGACTATAGCCTTTCAAAGCTTTACTTCTTTTATCAGCATTCCTGGTTTTATAAACAATGAAGGTCATCAATTTCATGCCCACCCAAGTTTCCTGGAAAACCTGAATATAGCATTCCATGGTGACCCAAACATTCTTAGCATGCTTTTAAAGTAGCTCATCAGGGCTAAGGCCTCAGGCCACACCAGATCCCACAACTTATTCTTATAGCTGTCTTTGAGTTAACTATTTTCCAGTAAGTGACCTCCGATAGATTCTCCTGTATTTAATATTAAGAAACTTATTTGTTTTTCAACCCATACTTGGATGGACTCAGGTCTGTTATCAGGACACTCTCTGGGGTAAACTAAGGCTTATTCACATCTCTCAACATAAGCCACATGACAATGAGGAAAGTTATATATGAAAGAACTGTTTTTCAGTGTGATCCTGCCACAACTGAGTTTCTGTTGAGAAACAGATTTTGAGACAGCATACAACATTTTTTGGAGATTATCTATGGAATCAATGTACATAGAAGGAAAGGAAGTATCAACAAGTTTTGAGAAGCTGAATTGAAAAAAAAATGGCTTTGTGGGGAGCTAATCTCAATGGGAATTGTGACAGTAGAAATAACCTTATAGAATTTTCACAAATAACAAAAGGATACCAGGCTTTTATATCTTCTTATCTATTGAATACAGGCCACCAGAAAGCGCATGGTAACTCTCTTCAGCAGAAGCTGATCAAAGCATGAGATAGTTACAAATTTCCTGAAGATAGCTCACACAGGAGTGGAAATGATATATTTTTAAATTTTATTTAAAAAAAATCATACATGAGTACTGTATTTACATCATTTCCACCTCCTTCTCTCCCTCTAACTCCTCTGATGTCCCCCAATATGATTATAGAACAAAAAAGAAGTAGATACCACTATGAACATTCAAGAAAGGGTGAGTATAAATTTAGACTCTTGTAATTAAAGATAATATAATATAGTAGCTAGGATGCATGGCCATATTATATGTCAGATTATCATGTCATCCAATGCTTTGTTCTTAAGCAGTGCTGTTGAAACTATAGGACCAAGAAATGTCTAATGCACAATTTAGAATGCATTGGAGGATAGCTTTTAAGGCAACTGAATAAAGAATCTTCAATTAGCCCAAGAGCTAGAGGTAAAAGGAAGGATGGGGAAAGTTTTGTCATACCTTTCTAGGCAGAATAATTAGCTGGATTGAAAATCTAACAAATGTGAGCAATTAGTTAGGCTCCTTATCTGGCATGCATCAAGTCTTGGGTTTGATCCTCAGCAATTCATGAAACCTGGTATAGTGGTATATGTCTATGTTCTAGGACTTGGGAAGCAGAACCGGAAGATTAAACGTTCAAGCACCTCAGCTGCATAGTGAGTCTAAGGCTAGTCTAGCACATATGAGACCCTGTCTCCAGAAAAAAAAAAAAAAAAAAAAAACATGTACAGGGGCAGAAAGACCATGAGGCCTCAACTCTACTCAAAGTACTGCAAGCATCTACAGAATGCTGGGAGTGGGAGAAGTAGTCTTCCATAGGGAAGAATACACCAATTATTTATTCAATACCAAACAATCAGCCCCAACATACATGTGAAGAATATAATAGAGACTGAATAAGTTGTATTTAGGTTCTTTGTCAAAAATCATGTGCTCATAGGTGTGGGGACTAATATCCAGGTGTTCAATTTGATTCCATTGGTACCTGTCTGTTTTCATTATCATCACTCTATAATAGAGCTTGATGACAGGGATGGTGATGCCTCTGGAAGTTCCTTTTTTGTACAGGATTGTTTGGGCTCTCCTGGATTTTGTGCTTTTCCATATGATGTTCAGTATTGTTCTTTCGAGGTCTGTGGAGAATTGTGTTGGGATTTTGATGGGGATTGCATTCTGTACATTGATTTTGATAGCATTGCATTTTGAGTATGTGGATTCTACCAATCCAAAAGCATGGGAGATATTGGCATTTTCTGATACCTTTTTCAATTTTCTTTTTTCAAAGGCTTAAATTTCTTGTTGTACAGGTATTTTATTTCTTTAGTCACTGTTACCACAAAATATTTTGTGCTATTTGTGGCTATTGTTAATGGTGATGTATCTCTCATTTCTTTCTCAGCACCTTTATCCTATAAAAGAGGGATACTGATATTTTTTTTTTAGTTGATCTGTTATCCTGCCATATTACTGAATGTGTTTATCAGCTATAGGAGTTCCCTGGTAGAATCTTTGGGGTCACTTATGCATACTATCATATCATCTGAAAACAGCAAAAATTTGACATCTTTCCAACTTATATCCCCTTGATCTTTTGTTGTTTTACTGCTCTATCTAGAACTTTAAGTACTTTATTGAATAGCTATGGAGAGAGTGGACAACCTAGTCTTTCTAATTTTAATGAAATCAGTTTGTCTTTCTCTCCATTTAATTTGATGTTGGTGGTCAACTTGCTGTATATTCCTTTTATTATGTTTAAATATGTTCCTTGTATCCCTTATGTCTCCAAGACATTTATCTTGGAGGTGTGTTGTATTTTGTTGAATGCTTTTTCATCATCTAAGGAAATGATAATATACTTTTTTTTCAGTTTATTTATATGGTGGATTACATTGACAGATTTTAATATATTGAACCATCCCTGCATCATCTGAGATGAAATCAGCTTGATCATGGTGGATATTATTTATGTGTTTTTTTGATTCCGTTTGCTAGTACATTACTGAGTATTTCAGTATCAATGTTTATGAGGCAGATTGGTCTGCAATTATTTTTCTTAGTTGAGTCTTTGTGTGGTTTGGATATCAGGGTTACTGTTGCCTCATAAAAAGAATTTGGCAATGTTCTTTCTATTTATATTATGCAAAATACTTTGAGG